CCAGCCTCCTGAGTAGCTGGGATTACAGGCACGCACCACCATGCCCAGCTAATTTTTTTTGTATTTTTAGTAGAGACGGGGTTTCACCATGTTGACCAGGATGGTCTCAATCTCTTGACCTCGTGATCCACCCGCTTCGGCCTCCCACAGTGCTGGGATTACAGGCTTGAGCCACCGCGCCCGGCCTACAAATTTTCAAACAACCTCGAGAGAACTATCATGAGAACGGCACCAAGTGGATGGGGTTAAACCACTTATGAGAAATCTACCTTATGATCCAGTCACCCCCGACAAGGACCCACCTTTAACATGGAACATTACAATTCAACACAAGATTTGGGCAGGGGCACAGATGCAAACCATATCACTCCCCTACTTGCTCATTCTTCTGATGAAGCATGCTGCCACGCTGTGAGATGCTCTATGGAGGAGCCTCTGTGGCAAGGAGCTGCGAGAGGGCTCTGGACAACAGCTTATGAGGAACTGAGGCCTCAATCTAATAGCCTGAGAGGAGCCAAGTCCAGCCAATAACCACAACTGAACTAGGAAGTGAATCCTTGGGATGACTCCAGCCTTGTGAGAAATGCAGAGTCAGAGGACCCAGCTAAACCATACCGATTCCTGACCCACAAAAACTGAAATATTAAGTGGTGTTTCTTTTTATTATTATTTTTGAGATGGCGTCTCACTCTATCATCCAAGCTGGAGTGCGGAGGTGCAATCTCAGCTCACTGTAACCTCTGCCTCCTGGGTTCAAGTGATTCTCGTGCCTCAACCTCCCGAGTGGCTTCCCAGCTACTTGGGACTACAAGTGTGCACCACCATGCCAGATTAATTTTTGTATTTTTAGTAGAAACGGTTTCGCCATGTTGGCCAGGCTGGTCTTGAACTCCTGGCTTTAAGTGATCTGCCTGCCTCGGCCTCCCAAAGTGCCAGGGTTACAGGCTTGAGCCACTGCATCCAGCCAGTAAGTGGTGTTTCAGTCCACCAAGTTTTGGGGTAATTTGTTACACAGCAGTAGCTGTCACAATCACAGGAAATACCTCATCTGTATAC